AATTAGAGGGAAAAGAGAGAGAATAGAGAAAATGTTTCTCTTAAGTACAATTTTCATTATAGTTGAACCTCCTATTTATAAGAAACTTCTGATGGCACAACCGTAATAATACAATTACATCAGAGACAAAATAGTCATTCACATACATTATTTTATAAATATTTCACAACACTCCCCATTGAATGACTATTTCTAAATATATTTTAACTGATTAGAACAAAGTCCAATTTGCACATCTTCAAGTATATCTTGTGGCCATTAGGTACCGTTGCTTCAGCATGTCAGGGAAACCTAGTGGGACAAAACCTGATCATTGTGGAATCTCAACATTTCTCCTCAGGAAAACCCGGTGGGACAAAACTTGATCATCTTGAAATTATAACATTGCTTTTATAAAACTAGAGGGAAAAAAGAGAGAACAGAGAAAATGTTTCTCTTAGGTACAATTTTCATTATAGCTGAAGCTCCTATTTATAGGAAACTTCTGATGGCACAACCGTAATAATACAATTACATCAAGGACAAAATAGTCATTCACATACATTATTTTATAAATATTTCACAACAAGTTCATCTCTTTTTTGTGTTTTTCCTTATTTTCGCTAAATGATTATACAGAATTTGATGCCTTTATATTGGTAATTCATGTAGAGAAAAAGTATGGTTAACAAAAATATGTACAAAGTATACACGGATGTTTTTAATTGTGTATGGTCATAATTTAATATCATATGGTGTTCTCTCATTTACATATATGTTATAGGGCCGTCTCCAGAAATTTTGGAGGCCCCAAATGAATTTTACCTTTTTGAATTTTCCGATTTAAATTTGCGTGGTAGGACTATTTGTAGATAGATTCATACAAAAAAAAAAATATAATTAAACAAGACTATTAAAATAAACAAATAATTGAAAAAAAAAAAAACAAATTTTCTTATTATCTAGAACTTGGAAAAGTTACCTTTAATAAATTATAAATTGCATACAAGTAGTCACAACAAGGAGGAGAAAATAAAAAACATATTACATCAAAGAATATTTATTCTCACACAACTTGTTCTGACGAACATCATAAGAAAATAAATGAAATGTTTAGGGCCTCAAATTCCTATACAAAGTACATATTTTGCGAGTCCATTACCCCCTTTATTTATGTAAACAAATAAAACCAAACATAAATACATAACATAAAAAAAAATAATAAATATATAAATTGAGGCCTCTAATAATTAGAGGCCCTAGACATAGGCCTATGGTGCCAACCCTAGAGCCGACCATGTATGTTATTATGCATATATTGATATAGCTTCAAATCGATTTAGGAGCTTACTTAATAAGAATTATGAATACATCAGTCTCAATCAGTTGAAAAATTGAATGGAGTGCTCTAAATACGATTGGAGTTCCAATCGACCTATACGTGCTCGAACGGGTAATTGGGAGATATGGAAGTTCAAATTGAGTTAGGGTCAAATCGAGTTAAGGGCTAAAAAATAAAAAAATAAATAAACACGATCAATAATAGCACTCCATATATTAAAAAATACCGTTGTCTATCAAATGAGACTAGACTTCAAGTTACTTAATATTCAATTATGAGCTTCAATATTATGGCATTATAATCTTCAATTTCACATTTAAATTAATGTTAGATGAAAATTCGGCAAAATATGGTTTGATCTCTTCATTTCACATTTAAATGAAAGATAAAATGTTTGGCAAGAAAAAGTATATAGAAAAACACATGTATTAGCAATTTAGCATCACACAAACACAATTCGTGCCATTTTGGAACTCAATTTGCTCTAACTCAAACAAAACAAAAAAACATTGCATATTAAAATACATTTAAATTCTACCAAAATTAGTGTCAATAATTTGGGCACAAGTCAACTACGTACAAAGAAATATATTCCGTTGACTGTTGACTATTTGGTAGACTAGTTTGGCATTCTGAAAAGTCAACTACTGAACAAATAGATATCTTAGTATAAAGAATAAAAACATAATAATAATAATTATGTAAAAAAAATAAAATCATAAAAAATAAAGGTTGTCCAATGTGAGGCTCACATATCTATTGTCCATAGAAAATTTGAAGTGCCATTTGGGTCCCACCTGTAACTATATATTATTCAGGCACCAATTGTAATATAGAATCTTTTGTATATATTAATACATCATATTATTGGAATCTTTTATGTATATTAAAATATAAAATTTTATGACTTCTTATTAGAGCATGTATATAGTAGAAAACAAGAAAATATGCAATTGAGAGAGAAAGTTTAAAAAATAAATAAATAAAGTATTGATTTTATTTAATGTAAATTCATGTGATTTAAAATTGGAAATGTTTAATGAATAATGATTGATATAAAATAACTTTAAATCAAGTGTATATAATAATAATTTAAACAATATCAAAATTTTTATTTAGCAAGATTTATTCATTTAGGTGAGAAATTTGCATTATGATAGGCATATTTTAATTTTTTTTTTCGAAACGATAGAGATAGACATATTTTAATTGATCACCGTTTTTTTTTTATCTAATAATTTCAGCTCAATTCAAATGAATTTAAATTAATTTTCTTGTATTTTTTATAATCATAATGGGGAAGAAAATGTGAGACTTTTTTTTTTTTTGGCCTTTTCATGATAGAAGATAACCAACCGATGTAAGTTGTTATAGTGTCCACTCACTTGTAATAAGATTTGACATCATATTTATTACTTAATTTCCGAATTTGTTATTTTTATATTTATTAATTGTTTGGTTGTTGAGAGAAAGAACTAAATATTAAAATCCAAACAAAATTATATGTTTAATTTACAAAAATAAAATCGAGGCTATAACTCAAACAAGTCAACGGATTGTAAGCCACTTACAAATGAGTATGCAGCCCAACCCACTTTTGCATGTTGGCTGAACTATCTGTATAGGTAAAGCCCATTTTATCAACTACAAATTGTTGGGCCTCATTGTTTAGGCCCATCTTACAAAAAGTCCATATGTCAAGCCCACTATGATATTGTGAACTTCTCGCTTTTTTTTTTTTTTTTTT